GAGGGAACTTCCAATAAAATTTGGTGCTTGTTTTGTGAACAACAGAGAGACCTTCCTTCATACGGAACGCAAATTGAACGGTCATTAAAGCCCAGTTGGAACCGAGGCAAATGGGACGGTGGCAAATGGAATATTGATCAAATGGACGGACACAAAGTGGTGTATGTGTATCATTCAAAACCAATTTTAGTTGTGATAGCTTAATGGTCATCAATCAAATATTGCAACGCATTTTTCATTACGGGATTTCACTTTGACAACATGCGTGTTAAAGTTGGCATTTTTTGTGGTCGACGGTTATTGCGAGCATGTTCAATATTGAAAATAGTCATCACTAGTAGTACTCTTGTAAACATTCATTCAATCGAATAAAGTTTTTCATCATGTTCGTCTTTTATTTTGTACACATTGTGCGTATGCCAAAATGTGAAAAAAAAGAGCGTATGTCAATCAATTCTAATGACTTGGGGTGAAAGTTAGAATTATACCAGAAAATATAAACTATATGGAACATGTGTCGATATTTTTTTGTCCAATTTGTGTTGTGCATTGTCTTTATCGAGTTGATGTGGATTCATTCTTTTCCATTTAAGTGACACATTTTGACTTCGAAATTGGACGGCCGTCTTGATTTATGGCCGATTTGTAGAATGAAATCAAAAGCAAAACAGTGTGCAAAGTAAAAGGAATCAATGGCAACCAGACGCATCATGCCAGTGCGCAAGATGAAATGTCGCCTATTCGACGGGCTCGACTTTGATTTGCTATAAGCATGACTTATTTATTAAAGTGTATCTTGTTTCTGTGTCTGAGAACGTTAGATTCAAATCGAGCACCAGTGAAACAATAAACCAAACTTATTCATCACATGCCAACGCATACATTTCACTTGGGTTGGCGCATGTGATCTTATGTTGCTGGCAGAATGCGTTGCCTAGGAAAACGTAGTATTATTTACTCGAAAAAGAAAGTTAATTTATTTTAACGATGTGTTTTCATCACAATTTTTTCCACCTTTCGGCGCATCCAACTGAAAATAAAGTTGAATTTGATGGAGAAAAAGTCGAAATCATCAGGGAAAAGGCAAGAGAAGAACTGTTTCCACTGCATCGATTTATAAGAGTTAATCCGTCGTTTTATCTAGTTTGCACGTCGCTGTCTCGCGCAACAAAAAAGTATATGAAATGAACTATGGTGTCGAAATAAACTTTGCCTTCTGCTTTGAGCGTTTCCCAGGAGTACCAATAGCAACGGCAGCTATTTTGTCGTTATACTCTCATAATTTTAATCGCAAATAAACAACAACAACAAAACGCACAAAAAATGGTTACACTTTTGAATTGCAAGTTTATATATATGTTGCTCGTAAGTTGACCGGCTGCGTTGTGCATAGTAATTCATTCGATGCACAGACAATTTATTCTATCTAGCAGAGACATTGTGCGTTTTCTGTGCAACTTTTTTCGGCGGTGAATTTTTGTTGCGCTCAATGTAATGTCAAATGAAACTATCTGCAGAAACCGCTTTCACGGGGAATGCGAATGGCAAACTGAAAATGGATAAGGTTTCCATTTACTTTTTTGTTTTTATAAACTCAATCTAATTAAAATATATGTTTGGGGCAAACAGGAGCATAAATTTGAACCGACAACCAAAATTTTACTCGCCCATTCTCTTGCCGTCTAGTTCTCTGTCTCTCTTTTTCTCTCGCATGTCTCTGTTTTTACCACTTGCTGCTCGATCATGAAGCGTCAAGTTTTTTTGTTGTTCACATTGTTTTACACAATCATTTCATTACCAGCTTTTTTCCCGAGCTGTGTTCATCCAATCTTCATAACATTTTCGTGAATTTGGCAACAAATCAAAACTCTTTACATCGATGCAGACGCAAAGCAATGCGAAACGATGCAAACATACGCCAAAGAAAAAATAGAATGTTGCAGTGAAAAAGTCATTTTCGGATTACAATTTTTTTTTCTCTCGGTAAATTTTATTTCGGATAGTTTGCAATGTAATCCCAATGTTTGCTTAACGAAATCATTACCGCAACAAAACAACGATTGTGAACCAGTGGAGAAAAAAAATTGTATATGTAGAAAGAATGACTGTTTGAACGACGATGAAACATCGCACACAACCAACAACAAATCATGTGAAATGTGTTTATAAATGTACAGCATTTTACTGTGGAAAATTGGGATAAAAACTTGAAATGTTGATTGAGAAAAGCACAACCGAGACACAGAAAACAAGAGATTGAGAGAGAAAGAGAGATCGAATTGCGTTAGCGCATAAGGACTTTATGTATGTATGCGCGTATAGAGAATTTGTGGCGCGAAACAAGTACGAAGCTCTAATTCACGATAACAATAGCTGTAGAAATAACGGGTTTTATCGTGATAAGCAATAGCAAAATGTTAATGAAACTGGCCATTTATTGTGCTTGTTGGCATGTAGTGAACTCTTCTTTAAGTCCTGTTGTTTGTCCATTTTATTTAATCGTTTGGAATTGTTGGCCACTGCGTCGTCTAGCAAAACGATTCTCTTTTTTGGCATCTGTATTTTTATTTCTCTCTCTTTCTCTAGGTCTTTCATTTTCATGTTGTTACCATCTCCGTGTTGTTTTTTTTGCTGAACAATTTTGTTTATTTCTGTAATGCTGAGAAATTAGTGGACCATTGATATTTTTTACTTCGGGCACAAAGTCCCATAAATGATAGTGTAGCTTAAAATCTGGAACTATTTGAAAATGGGCATCAACACTTTCTCAAATCAAATGCATATACGACGAAGTTAAACAGCGATTCCAGTGAATCTTAATTTGTTTCATAATGGTTCACATAACCAAAAAAAAGAGAATTGCTACAACGGATTAGAAATGACAACGAATGCAGCTATAATTTTTCTCGATTTTCTCTGCAATTGCGGTTTTTGGCATTATTTGCGTTCAGCTTTTTTTGTTGTTGTTTCATACTTTGGTTTTATATCGCCATTGTGTTCACATAGGCTGTTCATGTGCTTTGTGTGCATTTTGTTTGATCAACGTACGTTGTTGGATTCTATTTAGTTGGCTTACAAATAGTTCGGTTATTGTTTTCGGTCCACATTCAGGTCGTGCCATGTGCACGTAAGAAAATTCACAAAATCAAAATGAATGCGTTTGCCGACAAACAACAATATTAGATGCCATTATGCTTAGTTTCGACAAAATATAATAAAAGAATGGTCAAAATGAATAAATTTGGATTTTGTCGGAATGTGCACGCATCCACATGCTCTCACATATAGTCGGTAAGGCGATGAGCATGAACGATTCACAAAACTTTGAGCACGAATTCAACTGACTAAAATCTTCCGCCACAGGCTTGCACCAACGAAACAGCTATTGAAACTGTTCAAAACAAGCAAACAACAAATAATTTATGACTGTTTTAATATACATCTATGGTGGTACATACATAAAAGACATCCAACATTTATAACAACAAGCCAAAGCACCGAACTATGGCAAAACAAAAATAAACGCTGAAAACGAAATGACGGAAGAAAAATGGATGCACACGAAATTATTGGCAAACGAAACAACGGAACGGAGCGAGTGAGGGGAAAGACCGAGTGAGAAAATTCGAATTTTCGAGTCAAAAGTCACATACAACAGAATAATACATGAAATAGAGAAAAAGGTTCGGGCAACAACCAACTGCTTGAAGATGAAGCAAAAGAAGTGTAGCAAACAAACTTAATGCAGACAATGGCAATGACGACAACACTGTGAACGAAATTTTACATGCCATCATTTGAATGAAAGAAAAAAACACGAAACCATAGAAAGGGAATGAGCAAAACAAAAATGAGCCATACCGTGCATGATTAGGGAGCATCGTCTTGTGCCGTTGTTGTTGATTTGTCGTAAAATGGTCATCTTTTTCCTCAACATCTTCTCGCTCTTACATTTTTCCACATTTATTTTTTTTTATATTTTTCCACAATATTGTCATTTTGTACGCATTTCTGCGAAACCATTCCGATTATTTTTCTTTACTCCAATGCTGAATATACGACTATTCTATACGTATTAAGTGACAACGCGCTCTCTGTTAATACACACAAGTACGTATTTGCCGTTTTGTTTCGTTTAGTCATTGCCAAAGACATGGTGGTGTATTTATGGTAAAAATGTATGTATGTCAAAGTCTACGGTTTGCCACTGTGAACTCAGAACAGCATCATGTTTATACAACTTGGCTGCTACTACATACACACAACCGTACAAACCGAGGGTGAAACAAATAAAAACCCAGCGACAAAGTGCAAAAGAAGAGGGAAAAAACTCCAAATTGCCCCATCTCCGCAAAAGCAAATAAAATAAAAATGTGCTTTTCAAATTGAATAGCAAAAAATGTTGAAATCGAAACAGAAGAGAAATGCTGCAATGTTTGGAGCCAAGAATATTGACTTACTGGAGTTCTGCACAACCAACAATAACACAGCATCTACAGCGAAAATCTATGCGGAACAAAAAAAAAACACAACAACAACATTTAGGCATAAAAAAGAGAAATATAGTACAGCGACATACGCACCAGGCAGAAACCGTCGCGCAACACCAACCAAGTATATATAAACAAAAATCTAATTCACAAACGAACATTAATTCGATGTATGTGGCTTTTCGGTTTCGCTCTTTTTTTCCAGTAAAAATAGATGCATAAATCGATTTTATTGGTGGTGTTACAATGAATATTTTTTGTCATAATGTTGCGCCAATTGTGGTTGTGTCATGTGACGTGAAATATTGCTAAAATCAATTAGTTAGCACCCGCAACACTGTGCATATCGTATCAATTCAAATGCGAACCGAAAATGTGTACAATGTTTTGAATAGTTTTCAAGTTCTTTCTCTTTTTAAATGTTCTTGTATGGAATAAATAAAAGCATCTATGTAATGTAATTTTTAGCACATAAAAAACACATCGAATGAATAGATTGAATGTACTTACGTGGAAAATGTAATCATTAGTTGAGAAGATGAGCACGGCAAAGACATCAAATGTTACACCCGTTCAGAAGCACTCAATGGAACTTGATGCTGATGCGTTCGGAAAAGTTTACACTATCTTTCACTTGCAACACGATAACATAGTAGATTTTAGTTTTTAACCTATAGCATTTGAAGCTACTATAAAGTTTTTTTTTCCGTATTCGAGTTTGAGAAAAATAAGAAAACACTTGCGTCTGAAAGAACCACTTGAATTCACACAGTTTTTTTTTCGTTACAATTCTCTCTTTCTCTCTTAACAAATCGCTTTGTTTCGAAAGTTCAACAGTTCACGAAGAGAGATACTGGAAATGCTCGTTATTTTTCCTATTCTTTTAACAACAACAACAAAAAAGTTAGGTGTGGGTATTTTTTTTTTTAAAACGGCTGATGTTGGCTCGTATTGTTGCTTCGGCTGTTGGATAATATTGTTGTTGACGGTGCCGATGGTGATAGAACCTAATAAAATGTTTGGTAAGTCGTAAATGCGGCTTTTTCATCAGCTTCGGAATGTTGACGAGATGTTGTTAGCGAGCAGTGGCAAATCACCAGTAGAGAATGTTATTTGGCTTAAGTACCACACGGTGTATATATTTATGTGTGTGCGTTGTGCTGTTCACGTTAGGTGAGAGAATAAAGAGAAAAATACGAAATAAGAAAATAAAGTCTATTACTTTTCCAAAAATGGTGGCAAAAGTATTGGTTTCGATTGAGTCAATGTTAAGCCCAAAAAATGGAGACTGTGGCTCTTTAAAACATACAAACAAAAATGATATATGTAACATGCAGAAAATATCATGCAAGAAAGAACAATGATTTGTCACACATTTTGATGTTGTCAACAATCCTTTCGAGAGAAAAAAAAGTTCGTCTTAACGAAGTAAGATCATCAATTTCAATTATGTGGAAGAAAACGAGGTAACAACCGAATGAGAATGAAAATCAGAACACACTCAACACACAGAGATGTGTTAAACTTACGTACCGTTATATGCTTATACCCGTGCGATTGATGCTGTATATCTTTCGTTCTTTTTGTCTTCCTTTGCTTCTTCGTTAAATGCACAAAATTTTTGTGTGTATGTTTCTTATTCCGTCCGTTTCGTTGTGAGTTTTGAGTCAATGTGCTACCGGGAGCTGTTCACTTTTTCAAAAACAATGTTCGTGCAGTGTTTCTTGTGCTTTATCTGTTCTCTTTCCTTTCTATATGGGTATCGCTTGTTATGCCACAATCACTTTTGACATCTACTGATGATGATGCTGTTCCTCCCTTAACGACAGATCATTATAACATTTATTTTCTATTTGTTCGCGGCTTGTCCAGTTCATTCAATCTCTGTGATTTTATTGGTTTCCGTAGTGTTAGACTTTTTTAATCGAATTATTTGTGATTCTTTATTTCTGCAATCGAACCGATTGATTGATCCATCAAAGCCCACCACTTTGGTTGATTTGAAATTAATTATGCTCCGTTTTTTAATATAAATAACACTAATTCAAGTAGATGACAATTTAACCACCTTTTGCACAAACAGCGAAAACCGAAAAAAGGTGTTTGTGTTCGTGCAACACGCGCTTTGATTACAATTGGCTCTTTTAAACAAAAATTTGTAATAAGTATTTATACGATATTTTGCCTTTGGCTTTTTATCGCATCACGAAATGCAAAGCCACCGCTTTAAAATAAGAGCTCATGTCGAAACGTTGTTTACAAAGAGAAATGAAAATGGATTTTGCTGCATAAAGTTTCGTCGTTTATGAAATATTCAAGCGAAATTTATGAGTTGTTCAGTGCGATTGTTCAGATAATTTCGCTGTCCGTATCGTATTGTACTTTTCTCTTCTCTCTTTTTCTTCGTATGTGACGATTGAATTCACTTTGTCTAAAATTTCAATGATGGATTAAAAAATTGGTTGTCACCACCGTAATGCTTCTGATGTTTTCAGTTAATTTTCTTTATTATTTTTTTACTAGTATAAATTATTGACTATCTTTTTCAGATGAAATTTCACGTTAAACGGGAAGAATCAGTCGAGCGATTTGTTCAATTCGCGAGCTCAGTGGCAACTGTTGTAGGCTGTGACTGGATCTGCTAACGATTTCATGTGTGCGCATGTCAAATGAACATTGCGGGAGATAAAAGCACAAACAAGAAAGAAGATGAAATGAAAAAAAAATATAGAAGCAGGACGCAAACGAACGACGCTGCCTTTTTAACATTTTAGATGTGGTACGGCGCGTATGGAAGCTGCGTGCCGGAGAAATGGATGTGGAGTAGAAGCTGTGCAAGAACAGCAGAAACCGATGTGAGATGCGAACACAATTGCACACCGTACGCAATATCGACTCCATTTCGCATCGGAATCTGAATGAATATATGTGTGTATAGTATGGAGCTATCACAAACGGTAAAGGAAACTAATATGAAGTGAATGAGCCGCTTGTTTCAATGGAATGGCACGGGAATCTTTTTTGATGTTGAATGCGGCGTGCGCGATATTTGGAAAAACGGTGACGTGAACGATATCCCATGTTTGCCACTTTTCATTCAACAT